ACTTTATAGGTTCGTAGGTAGGTTAGTTAGTACTATCTATATATATATATATATATATATATATATATATATTATATACTCCACGTTAAATACTACACTATGAGTCCTTCTTTCAATAAAGGCAACTCTGACACTCTAAATTTTGCTTTTTTCATGCATTTGAGTTGGCAAAAAAAAATGTTCGATCCTCTGTATCATTGTACCTTGATGATAAATTTGCCTAGAAAATAGTTATGTACCCTAATTTTATCACTAGGGGGAAAATACTTTCTTAAAAAAGCTCTTGTATTATGTCTAAGGAAAAGTATATAATGAGCATTTATCTTTGCTACAAGGTGGTGATCACAATTGATCTTGACTATTGGGTATGAAATTAGATGGCTAAAATTTTTTCAAACTTTGTGACAGACCCAAACAATCAAATTTCATATGGCATGGTTGTAAGTAATTGTAACCTCCTTGTATCAAAGATAAATAGTCTTATTATATACAATCCCTATGTCAAATATTTGTCTATTTTTTTATTTCTCTCTGCCCATATCCCGACAAATATCTTGGGGACTTTGGGTTACCTGTTAAAAAAATTACGTTTGTTACTGTTAAAAAAATTACGTTTGTTACTGTAAAAAAATAAAAAAAACCAAAGGATGCCATTTTGGATACATCCGCAAGGCACTATATTGAAGTGCGCCCTTCTTCCAAAATTCACTTTAATGATGGATTTTGGATCTAAAAGTTAACAAGTTAAATTGTCTTGCCCACCATATTCTTGAATATATATATAAAAAAAATTAATATTCAAAATGTATATTTTCACGAGGAGACCACATATTCACATCACTTACGAAAAGTTTTTCCAAAGTTAAAATGTGTTCCAACTACCAAGGGTTGTGACGCAACCCAAAGACTTCGTGTTCCTGCGGGAATCTACTGTCCACTTGCTCTCTTGGGTAGAACTCAATCTAGGAATACCTTTAGGACCCCAGATTTAGGGGAGATAACCTCTTCAGTCTATGTATTAATCTTAAAAAATTAAAAAAATTTAAAAATAAAAATCCACACACTCTATGTGCTATAAAAAAAAGTAAAAAGTTTATGTAAGGTTGCAAACTTAAAATTTAGAATTAAAGATGCATCTCAAAATCCATCGAAAAAGATTGCTTTAATGTTGAAAAACTGTCTAATTGATCATCTTGATATTGAGATGTATGAATATGTAGAAAAAAAAGGATTTTGAGTTCCAGAAATAGTGCATCTTACAGCACATTATCTAGACCGTCTATTTTCAATATTTTTATATTTTTATAGATCTACTTAATTTTAGCTATTTCTGAAGTTTAAAATTTTATAATTAGAAATGAAAATAGATTTACAGATAATCCTAAGAATAATGTTTTACACCAAAACTACCTGCTATGATAAAATTTGGAGGTGCGCTTTAATTGGATTGTTTAAGGTTTCAACCTTGTATAAACCACACCCATAAAAAAATACTACCTCAATATGGACCATCTAATTCCAGGAGAGTGAGGTTTAAGTGGTAAAAAACCCAAAATCCAAATTTTTTTGTTCTTAAAAATAATTATCTACTATTTATTAGATGGTTTCCAAAACATTTTAAAAAAAAATCTCCTAAGGCCGTGTGCCGAGGGGATAATATACAATATGCACCTTGTGCTGAGGGGATAGTATACAATATGCACCTTAGGGAGCGTAGTATACACCCTCATGTAGCCAAATGTTCATTTACTCCATTTGATTGCGTTCTCGTTGATGCATGATTAATTGATAGGGATTTGGTATGTTAGCCCACTTATCATATACGGTATCCTTTGCGCGCGTATCCTATTTTGCATTCAACAGCTCGAATAATTTCAACTAAGAAGCTCATAAATCTAAAAGAAAAATAACTTTTAACATGAAAATGGATTAATAAAAACTTTTTTTTTACCATTTATTTTAATGCTTCCAAGGTAATCTATTTTTAGGTCGTAAATTCCATATTCTTTTAAGATTTGATATGGTTTACATTATCAGCTTTAAAATCTTATATCATAAATGGGCGAGGTTTACCTAAGGCATCCATCTTAAACGATCAAGTTCTACCAGAAGATATGGTTGCGGTGCGCGAAAATCCCTAGGATGACTTGAAAATGTATTCCAAGCCTTAATTATGAATATGAAGGTTTAAAAATGGTGTAAATTAAGTAGATTTATAAACACTTAAAAAACTTGAAAATAGACAGTCGAGAAAATGTGTCATAAGATGCACTATTTTTAAGACCAAAAATCTTTTTTGTTTTTTCGTAATACCCTATATAAACCGAAATCAAAATGATCAATCTAAAGATTTTCCAACACTAGAACAATATTTTCCTATAAATTTTCAAGGTAGACCTTTTAAAAAAAATAAAAGTTGATATAAACTTTTTTCACCATAAAACCATCTCTATGATCAGACTTGCACTTAAACACGAATGCACCAAAACCTTTTCCACAATTGATGGGAGGTTTAGGAATCTCATACTGGTGCCACACAGATGTATGATCAAAAGGTTTAGGGCATCATTTCTAGGTGCTGCAAAGGCAACTTTCCCCACCCCTTTTTGGGTGCGCTACCATGTGCTAGCGGTGGACCGCAGGACCACCTAATGCACGCCTTCAATGATAGGAGGTCCGGAAACAATACTAGGCTACAAACTTCGGGAATCGGGAGAGAAGCAAGAACGTGAGGTTGAGAAACAGTACAGCTCAGGATCACACCCAAACAAAAGAAATAAAAAGAAAAAAAATGAAAAACCCACTCAATAAATAATGCCTCAGGCCAATCATGCACCGTCACAGTACTAAAACAAAAGGCATTTCTCCTCTTTCTGCAAAATGCCTGCTCCACCATGAGAGAGAAAGCTTCACACTGAGAGAAAAAGCTTACAAAGTAATGGAGGACCAGGGCAGCCAGGCCTTTAGCTTAGAGGTTTCTTATCTTTTGCAGCAAACACTAAGAAGCCTTTGCTCTTTAGACAACAGCCATTGGCTTTATGCTGTGTTTTGGAGGATCCTTCCAAGAAACTACCCTCCACCAAAGTGAGACACACACATTGGATCAAATTTTGGCAGAACTTTTTCTTTCAATGATCAAATTAAAGAGAGACCCTATTAGGATTTCATTAGTAAAGCTTAAAATTTGGATTTCTTGTTATTTCAAGCTCAAAATCAGCTTGTGGGGTGTCTTCTCTCTCCTCTCTCTCTCTCTAAAATGTTCTTTCTATCACTTTCAGGTGGGATTCTCAAGGTGCAATGCTTGATAGAACTAGGGGAAATAGAAGGAACTGGTAATTGAAATGTATTTTGACTACATTTAGTGATTTTGAGGCTGTAAGTGTAAAATTGATGAAGTTTTTGTTTACATTGGAACTAGGATTTTGGTGTGGGAAGATGGGTTCTGCAATTTCATGGCTTCTCCAAGAGAGAGGAGAGAAAATTGGCCGACGAATGCTGTCTCTACATCTCTCTTCCCAAATTCTCACACTTCCACTTACATGGAGCCTCAGAATTTCTTCAAAATGTCTCATGAAGTCTACAACTATGGAGAGGGGTGCTATTCTTTTATCCCTTTTAGCACTGCATTCTCTCTCTCTCTCTC